CCCCTCCCAAGCGATACCAAAACTGTTGGCAATGTTGTCGTACGTGGTATCTTTGCCTCCCTTGTCGCGATGGAGCTTTGCCAGGTTGATTGGGGTATCGTTGAGAACATTTTCCATCATAGACTTCAGTGAGTCACGATAAAACCGTAAATCCCTACCAAGTTGTAACCAATCAATTTTGATGTCCTGGAATACAGGCACCATATGCGGAGAAATCGTCGTAGTAATGACACTCCTGTAAGGTATCGAGAAGTGGCCAAAAGTTGTCTGGAAAGAGATGCGTATCAATCGTTTTCACTTGGTCATCTGTAACCAGGGATGGCCAAAAATAAATACTCGGAAAAATACATTTGTATTTTTTTTGGAGCAATTACGTATTTTGCACACATTTGGTCTGTCACAAATAATTGATCTCACCAATTTTGAAAAAGAAATACTTTATTTTCAAGCTGTCTACACCACCCAAAAGCGTTGGCTGTCAGCTTCCAAGTACTCACTGACCGCAGCACTTCATTTGCATTTCTGAATTTGCTCGGAAGCCCGCACCTCGTCTCAATCCTGCCGACACGCCGCACTACGTGCCATGATCGACCTGATGCGGATGGCTTTGCGCTTCAGATTCTAAAGCGCCGCAAGATTTCCACGGAGCCTGCCAGGTACAAGCTGCTAAGTGCCATTCCTCCGACTTCGAATGTCGTAGAGAGGCTTTTCAGCGTGGCTCGAGCGGTCTTGCGTCTCGAGCGTCACCGGATGCCACCTTTGACCCTGGAAATGATCTATTTCTGATGATCAACGCGAGGTTTTGGAACATAGCCACTGTGGACTCTTGCTTGTCGACTATGCAAGTCAACTAACACAATAGCAGTAATATTTTACTGCACGTTCCCAAGTATTGCAGTTATTTATTTGCCTCAGTCTGCAGTTGCAATGAAATCTGTATTTTCTAGTAGATTCACCAGAGCGATTTTATTTTATTTTGGGGATCCCTGTCTGTAACCCCACAGTGATCTTTGATGGTCTTGCTTTAAGCATTGTCCCCATACCTGTTCTCGATGATCTTTTTAATCGCGTTGGGCCGAAGGAAATGGAGGCCAAGTCGCTCAAATTTGGAACACGTCGCATCTAAACCTACTTGACTCATGAACGAAGCACGGCCAACAATCATGAAGAACAAGTTCCTCACCGAAAGCAAGTTGACCAGCACCCAT